ACCAGTTTGGGCTGTGAGCTGAGGCACACTTTGATATTTACCCACTGCCCTCTCTTTGTTGGTCACCCAGCAGTCCCATCCTCTACCCAGCTAATGGTAACGGCACCAGAGTGGGCCACCCCCCACAGCAGAGTGCCTTCTGTGCCCATGTTTTAATACAAGAACCCTGACAATTAACCTTTTCACTAGTGCTATGTAAAAGCTGAGTAAGTGGTGGTAGGAGGCTGCTGAGTGGTTAATTACACACCTGGTGGATGCTGAGGGCTCTCAGGCTCTCATTTAGACTGTTAGTCTAAACAGTATTGGCGAACATTTACCATTTTGGCTAAGGTCTGTCAGCATTCATTTACAAGCAAACAAAAATAATGCAGACTGCAGATACAGAGTCATGGCCCACTTCCTTCCAAATAAAACTGTGAATTATTTCTATTGGAAAGGATTTAAAAAGAGAAGTTCAGCTGACGGTGTTTTGTGTCAAATTCCAGAAGTATACAGATCTATTTCTACTGAGCATCTGTGAGGGTTTTTCTCTTATGGGTTATGTTCCTCTAGAACAACAGGAAGAGAGCAGGATCTTTAAGCTCTTGTCTGAACATGTCTGTCCATTACATTTTTGTCAAAAGCTGACATACAACCACTTATCTACTGATAATGTCAGATGCTTTACATCAGTGTAGAGAAACTATCATGGTTTATACTTACAGAAAAAAAACAAGTATCAAGGCCTTAACTTCATTTGTAGCTCCTGAAGAGTCCAGTTCTATGCACTGCTTTCAACTGCTGTCAATTCTGACGTTTTTAAAGGTGTAAAGGACAGAACTAAACCTAACGCAGGAATTTAGGACATAAAATGTCTCCAGACTTTCCAAGAAGAAGGTAATAAGGACATCTTCAGTAAAGGTACCGAGCCATAATCTTAAGTAATTTCAAGTGAAATTCAAGTCACAGATACACAGAGCACGAAATGTGAAAAATAACAGTAAATTGAACAATTCACTGTTTCGATTTGAACAGAATGCTGATCAGTTCCAAACACTCTGAAAACCATTAAGAGGATGCACTTATATTTTATATTATTTATCAGTTGACTCTCCCAGACAAATCTTAAGGTTAGTAACCACACAGATAAGCAAATATTTTCCATGGACTCGTATTAAACTGAATTATTTACTTTTATATGCACCCAAGAAAGGTTAACCATTCTGTTAAAATTGTTTCTTAGAATAAGACTTTCTTTTTCTCTGTGGCAGATGTGATCCACTAAGATTTACGGTACCTTTGTAAAGATGCTGTCTCCGTATCGCCTCTCTCATAGTTCAGGTAGTCAGAAAGGTCCTCATGCGTTTATTCTGGGAATTCTAACTTACACTAGCAAAGGAAAATGAGTTACTGACTCTGTCCAGTGGAACTGCTTTACAGTCAGTTATCTTTTGAGATTAGGAACACCAAGAAATAATTTGTTGAAATTAGGTCTTGTGGTGCTAATGACATTTACTGCTTTGCTCATTTCAGAAAAGGGTGGAAGTTTTTAAACAGCAATCTTACAGTCAAAGGGATGTTCACTCGAAACAGATGTTAGAATTAATCCTCTACAATGTCAGCATACAAAAGTCAAGCATTCAATTTAAACTAGCTTTTACTAGGATGTTTCTATAACAATCAGAGAGACTCTCAGTCAACTAAAATGAGACAAATCTCAACCTAACGGATAGACAAGGCATTGATCATCTGCCACACACACGCACAATTTGTGCCAGCCACTGACAGGCGACATCTGGGAACGCAACCCGTACAAACATGGGTTACAAGTTTTATTATATGTTGCAATTATCTGGCATAAGGTTAGGACTAATTAAACCTTGTTTAACTTCAAATTACTCCCCTGTAAGTCACCTGTTAATCACTGTGGCATTGCCAAGGCGCGTGGACCCTTCTGGAAGGACAGCTGGAGAGAGTCAGCAGGTGGCAACAGGTGATCATTAGGCACCACAGGAATTTCTGCCCACTGGACTGCAGTCTTCCCTATCCACTCCCACGCCTGGGGACATGCTGGGCAGCAGAGACTGCCAGCATGCCTAAGGGCTCAGGGCCTCAGCCCTGCACCTTCACTGAAGGATGACCCAGACGACTTTCTGTCTGGACCTGCCACCTCCTCTCTTGCAAGACAGAGAAGTCATGTTAAAAACTGTTCTGCTGACCTGCCTGCCTTCTCCCTGGACTGTGAGGTCTCTTCCACAGAGCCAGGCAGATCTGCCACTTTTTAGTGAATATTTGTGTGACTAGAAGTGTTCTGGTATTCAAGATCAGTCTCTGTCCTGTCCATTTGGTCCCAAGCCACAATACACATTTTCCCTTTAGTGTTCTTACAATAAAATAAAAAATACCTGATATGTGAAAAATAGATGACCACTAGTTACCTTTCTTAACAAAAATTAGGTAATCATTGTCTGTTTTAGAGAAGAGAAACGAGAGTTTTGAACTAACATCAGGACTTGCTAAGGAGATTCCAGTTAATATTCCAATTAATATTTCTATTTAGTGCCAAACTTGGGCTTTCACACAGCCTACTCATACCCTCCTCAGAGATGACCATCTGTTTCAGACCTCCTTGAGCACAGTCTGGATGACACTGACTGCAGCTGTTCAGACTGCTGGACCAAGAGCAGGGGAGATGTGGATGTGCTTCAGAAGGCAGGCTAGAGACCAACAGATGCATTTCCTGCCAAGGGAGTGATCTTTACTCACAAACCACATTCCACTACTATGAACCCAAAATTCCAGACACAAGTGGCTAACTCAGTAATATTCTGGACGGTCTCCACAGGGGTATTTTGAAACATTTGTCTGATTACATTTCTGTGGTACTAATAACTTTTTAGAATTATGTGCATGAGTCACACGATAGGAACAAGTACTTGCTCGTACTTAGAATGCAAAATGGGACATCACTTCAAAAAGGCAATCCCAGGACTACTGATAATTTGAGTATTTGTCAAAGGGATAAATACCATATAACAGAAAGGAAAGAAGTTTCATATTCTGCAGGCAATAGATCCATGCAAATGAACCCAAACTTCCTTTACCTGAAAATTATCTTTGCATAAATTTGGCTGTGCTCCAGCACCACCTTGGATCACATGTATGAATTTAAGCTGATAATTAGTCCTACTAAAATCAATGCTTTTTAAAAAAAATTGGTGTTATGGCAGAAAATGAAAAGACACATACTGAGGTTTTTAAAAGAATCCTTTGAAACAGAAGTTTTACTAAAAATCTAGAGATTATCTAGAAAGATTTTGGTAAAAACCTAGCAGCTATCTAGCTGAAGTTTAAGTACCACTTGAGTTAAAAATCCCAAGACAGATTGGCTGCTCTTATTTACTGTTGAATACCAAAGCCCCATAACATACCTAGTGAGAACTAGGTATCAGCCTGCCCTCACAGAAATTTACCTGAAAAATGCTTTCTTAAATTAAAATCTCTCACCTATGCTCCAATTTTTTGCCCCATTTCCTGTCTTAATAGTCCAAATCTGGTCACTTGGATAAAGAGTTCTGCTTCCCCCTCCCAGCCAAGTGTGTTTTCATTTGCTGTATCAAACACTTTGCTTGGATTAATAATATTAAATATTTCCTCAACATGTGACTTTTTACATATTTATATAAAAAAATACCTGTAAAAGTTAATACACATATGGTGTATTTATAATCTCCCCTAAACAAAGATTACAAGTGTAGTATAAAAAATTAAAATTACATTGCAAAATACTACTTTGCGTCTCTGAACAAAAGCAATCAGTATTTATTCCTGGCTTTATTTCTTTATCATTCAATAACTCTTTGTCTACGGATTAATAACATTTGCATGTTGGCTTTCATCAGCACATTAAGAGGCACACCAGTCAACCACCTCAAAGCAACCTCGGTATAAACAGTGCACAGCTCTCCAGCCAAAGCAAAACTTGAGCTGGCACAACCTGACATTGCCACGGCCACCAACTTGGGACTCCAGCTCTGCTGGTGGGAAAGCAAGCTGAGCTATTATTTGGCATAACATGAAAACTGTATTTAAAAGAATGGGGAGATTAACACATATCTCACACACATACAACCACAGTTTACTGTTTATGCAATCATTCTGTTCTGTTATTAATGATCTTTATTCTGCACAGTATTTTCAGATGTACTGCTACAGTTCTGAAACTGGTATTTTTCATCCAGCTTGCTTTCTAAATATACTAGCGTGAATCTGTTTTTCCCAGATGGATGTACTAAAGTAAAGAAGAATGTAAATTTTTTATGGATCTACTATTTTTCTACTAACTTGCTCCATTTATCCCTTTTAAAACTTTGAGAGTGGAATACAAAATCTTGATAAGTGCCTTTACAAGCAGTAACCTGAGTTGATACCATTTTGGATATTGCAGCTACATCTCTACTCTGCTTCCAGTAGAGTTTTTTTAATTATCGTTATTCTGGTTTGGCCAGCTAGAAAAGTATACCTTTATATCCACAGGCAATATGCCCGGTAAAAAGGGAGATACACAGAATTTTCTCTTTTCAATTTTTTTTTTTTAAAGAAATAGAGATGCTAAAACCAGGGTTACTTTGACAACACCATTGTCATCCTTATCAGCCAAGTGACTAAGAAACCAAATTGCTTAGAAATCAGCTCACATCACTTGGAATGGCTTCAAACTGAAAGAGGGCAGGGTTAGATTACATATTAGGAAGACATTCTTCACTGTGAGGGTTGTGAGGCACTGGAACAGGTTGCCCAAAGAAGTTGTGGATACCCCATCCTTGGAAGTGGGACCTACATTTCCTAAATGCATGAAAATAAGATTAATACTTTCTTATGAATAAGGCATTTAGCCATTATAAACCAGAGTGACCCTTTCAGGCGTGACTGTCGGTCTGACCCAGTAATTCCCTACATTAGCACTACTACCAGGCTACCTTAGAGGATAAAACTCCTTTCAGAACAAACTGTCAACTCACTTTTAGGACACTGCAATAAATTATAGGTTCTGACATTGATTTGTAGATCTTTAAGCTGGTCAGTGATTTGCTGCATTCGATGGCTCTGGCTGCAGAGTGCAAAAACAGAACATCTCTCACAACACTGAGTATCTGACTCAACATTTTCCCATAACTGCAATTCTTTTTATGGTGAGGATATGGACTATGATTCATATCATCTCCCACAATCCTTTCTTCATAATACATTGTTTGAACAAGCACAAATTATTTGTAGGTTGTCACTGCCGTATCAACTTCAGTGACAGCGTTGCAATATTCTAAAATAAACAAAAAACAACACACCCATCTATAAACATGGTTATCTATAACACAACATAATACAGTGGGAAATACATTGGTCAGAAATATCATATCATAAGCTGACACATTTGCCCTTGTAACGCTCTTGGTTAGCACCCTAAATTATTTGCTATTTCAGGGCATTTAACAACTCATATTCCTTACTGACATCATCATTTCTCTAAAAGGCATAAAGTTGTGATTGGAAAAGGTGCTTAAGTGAGCAGACTGCTCCAGTAACATGCGTGAGCCCTCAGGAGTTAGAAAAATAAAGTATATATATTTCATGCTTTGACATATTTCACTTCTTGTTAAACTTCTCTTGCTCTTGGACACCACAGAAATTTGGAGAAATGTATGGTCAGATTAAAATATGGAAATTCACAATCAGAACACAATGACAATGCCTGTTTGTGTTTGCAACAAAATCAGCTAGTTCCATACCTTGACATATTAGCCCAGGGAAAGAAAGAATATTATTCAGCCAGATTTGCCTGCAATAACGTTCACTGCCACGTAAGCAATGAGCTCACGGGGATGTGTTCCCTTCCCGTCTTCCAGTAGGATTATCTGAGGTCATGTTAATTGAACAAGCAGAAAGTTCTAAACATCTACAGGGACATGTCGTGATAGGACAAGGGGGAATGGCTTTAAACTGAGAGCAGGCAGGTTTAGATCAGGTATGAGGAAGAAATTCTTTACTGCAAGGGTGGAGAGGCCCTAGCACAGGTTGCCCAGAGAAGTGGATACCCCAGCCTTTAAAGTGTTGAAGGTGAGGCTGGATGGGGCTTTAAGCAACCTGATCTAGTGGAAGGTGTCCCTGCCATGGCAGGGGAGTTAGAACAAGATGATCTTTAAGGTCCCTCCCAACCCAAACCACCCTATGGCTATGACTCTATGATCTACATACACCCACTCCATATGACTGTAACCAAGGGTGACTGGAAACAAACTGACTTTAACTGGTAAGTGGCTACCAAGTGGTCTGGTGGGAGGGGGTTCCCAAAAAAAAAAAAAAGAAACTGAGAGTACATGAAAAAATTTTCCTTTGTGATTCAGTCCTAATCTGTAGGACTGAAGAATTTTTAGGCTAGGTAAAGCACCAGGGATTTTGTTGCATCTTTATAATTTTGTCTAGATTTGTCTTTTTAAGCTTTTGGTGGTTTTAGCTTTTTTTTTTCTTTAGGCTAAAATAAGCATAATTTTAAAAACCAAGAACACAATGACAGCAAAAACAAACCAAGACATTTGAGAAATTTGCTATTTAAAGGACAGTGTTAAAAATCACAATATGAGAGAGCTCAGGTGAGAAACAGAAAAATGACCAATAATTATGGGGGCAGGTAAGAAAACTAAAAACTGGGAGGAAAAGATAATGCTACAAGGATTAGTCATAGGAAGTACTGAGGTGAAGAGCTAAAAATGTACTTAGATACAAAATTTGTGTCTGAAGGTGATATCAAAGCTGTGCTTGCTCCAGATGTCATTTAGCAATTGTCAAGCAAAGAATATAAAATGATGTCATTTTAAATTGTGATAGAGTTCAGGATACTCCATGGTTTAAAGAAGCTTTCATTTGGATACAGATGAAAAAGTCTAAGCTGAAAAAAAAATTCCTACTTCTTTGCCTTCTCCATACTTTACCATACATTTCCATGTAAATATTTTTACAACGTGCTTTAGGAGAGGTGTAAACTGAAAAAAACAAGCAGAGTTAAAACAGTTACAATCTTGGCAACATACAACCCAATTAAGTAAAATAAGTGATGAGTGTAAGGCTAGCAGTTTTTATTTATTAAATAAGAGCACTGCTTGGGAGATACAATGAAAGATGCAATAAGGAAACAACAGCATATTTTTTTAGGGTATTAAATTATTCCACTCGAGCTGATCTTTTGAGACATCTGTATTAGAAATACATAGAGATTAAATAAACACCTGGTTCTGAATTTTATCTCTGTATCCATAAATAAGTACTTGTTTCATGGGGAGCTCTTTTTGTATGGATCCAGGCAGGGCTTTTGCTCACTATGGAACATATACTACAGCAGCTTCTATTATTATTCATTAGGGTATAAAGTAGCTCTTTGTTCTGTTAGTAAATAGGATTCAGATGCCAAGAGACCAGCTCATGGTGAAGTCATAGTGTCTTTGATGCTCAGAAAGCCACATACCAGCAAATTAAAGCCTTCATATAGTCCAAAACTTCAGTAGTGTAAGGCACTAAGTAATACAAGCTCGTAGAGTCTAAAAATTAAACATTTCACAGTTTAACAAGATCACAACAGCTAAAAAATATGGAGAAAGAAGACAAAAAGGCCATTATTTTCTTGTGACCTACTGAACAAGGAGGTTCAGAACTGAAACCACACTGAGAAGTTAGCAGCATCCACTGACTCTCAAGGCCTGAGTTTTCTCTTTTGCCCTGCCCAGTCAGCTCATCTGAACAGCCTCTTCTTACAGGGGCTAGAAAGGAGGGGAAATATCTTTTTCTGTCAGGACTGAAGCTCTTTCTCTGCTTGAACCCAGGGAATCCACATAGACCTACCATTAGGTGTTCCTCTCACTATTACAGAGGGTCCTTTGGAAATCTATGCTCTTCCCAGACACTGACAAAAACTGAATAAGTACCATTTTTTCCAGAGCAAGTATCTAAAAATTTTACATTAGAAAAGCTAAGACTGCAGGGACATGAAAATTTTCTCATAGACTACATTTACTATGAAAATAAATGAAGAAAAATGCTGCAATGCTGTAGCAAGAGCAGATGCTTATTGCACTCATAAAGTAGAAATACATTAGGGAGGTAATAATTATTATTTGCTTTTCTTGACTGCAGGCATAGTTATTCTAAATAACGCAACCATACACCGTCATCATGTATAAGCATTTTGTAACACAGCTAAGTATAACACACAATAACAAAATGGGCAAGGAATACAGAAATACCAACAGTGTGAGAGGAAAAATAGGGAAAAATGGCTTTACCCACAGTGGTTCCATCTTCCCTCAGCAAAGAGTTCTATGGCCAGATCATCTCAACCTCAGTGACTAAGACTGAGCACCAAATCCATCAGCACTATCTACAGCTCTGTGGCACTACCATTAATTTAGGATAAGCTTAATAAGTAAATAAGACTTGACTGCTCTGAAGTGGTGATAATTATTAATAAAATTTACAAACTAAGCACTGGCAAACTGTATTGTTATTAAATGTCACTCTAGTATAGTTCTGTTTGAAGCTTCAAAGTGGCCTGATTTATGAGATTCCAAATATTCTCATTGCTGCAATCTTTCACGCTCTTATTCTCTAACTCGCACATACTTATATTCACTTGCAGCTGAGCAGATAAAAAAACATTGCTGCAAAATAAATTGTGAAAATACTGAAGTTTCAGGCTCAGAAACAAATTTTCATCTCACCAAAGTTTACAAGTTTGCATTTCTAGAATTCAGAAGGAAAATACTCACTTTTTTACCAGCAGTTCTGTCAAATCTCAAAATGTCAGTAAGAGACCTTTTCAGTAAGTTTTGATCTTCTACCTGCAATATAAGTATCAACTGAATCCAAAACAGAATTCAGCAGCATCTCTTGTGCTTTGGGACTCCACACAACAGCAACAGCCACCAAGCATTCCACCAGGGTCCATATCCAGAGGGGTTTTGTTGTAAAGCACACCTATTTCCCATCAAACAATTGTACCTCCCTCCTCAGGCATTTCTCTATCCCACTCCAGGGCACCTCTATCTCCCTTCACACCTCCCTCCAACATGCAGAGTCTAAAGCAGTGGATTCACAGTATCTGTGCTGTTATTCCCCACAGCTATTGCCTTATGGCTTAGCATAAAGTGGAAATTTTACATAACAGTTTACATAATTGTTTCAGAAAAGCATCAATAACATTGTGGGAACAGGGTTTTTTTACCAGGCAGGTCTAAGGAATTTAAAGAGAGGAAAAATATTATTACAGATTAAAGTGTGTTAATTTAATCTCTAAAGGTCAGGTTAAACCTGCAGGATACAGGATTTCTGCTGTCTTACACCAGCTTACTTTGTTTCTGAACTGACAGAGCTTTTAACATGAAGGGAAAGGAGAATGTAAGTGCAACTGTGACAACATAGAGCAGTTTCCTTGGAGAATGAAGTCAGCCCCCAGATGTGTCCTGTGGTACACCACCAGTACAGTCTTGCTGCAAATCTCTGGAAAGAATTAGCAAGTACTGCCCCTTCGCACTCTGACCCTCACACCTCTGCTCAATTCATGAGCACATTCTTCCACAGGCATGTTCCTTTCTACAGAACTCACTCCATTTGCTACAGTGGTGGAAAAGAGAACGAGCAGGCTGACTTATCACTCCTGTCTGGGGCTACACGGTGTGGCTGCTTGTGGCTCAGAGCCAGCGCGCTGCCAAGAGTGCCCTCGGCGTACCTCCAGGACAGCAAGGGAAGAACACAGCAAATAGTAAAGAGTTGAAGGACACACAGTTTCAGAAAGTTTGCTCTATTGTTTATGCTATTTCCTGTGCAGCCTGTAGTTGATCATGACCCTGTTTACCCTTCTGTGCAAATGATATTTTAATGACAAGTTATGAATAGTAAGTGATTAGAAATAGAGAGAATAAATGAATAAAATAAAATAAATTAATGAAAAAATAAAGGGATGAGAGAATTTCAGGGGAGAAAATGCAGAGCTTTGCTTACTGATGCTTTTCTCTTGCTACATTACTTGATTCATTTTTAAATGGCTCCCAAAACACTAAAGAAAAACATGCAAAAAAGCTTTACACTGCAAGTGTGGTGGGATAGTTGAGCAGATATTTATTTCTTGCACCTGCTCCTCTCCAAAAGCTCTCTTGCATATAATATACTCCATCAATGCTGTTTACAGAATGCTGTTGCTTTATTTTGAAAAATCTGCAAATGAATTCTGTTTAATTCTAATGCCAATACAAAGGTCAGCAATTTCTGCA